TTTTTTTTTTTCTCTCTCGTTCGACGAGCGTGTATACCCGTACTTATAGCCAGAGGAAAGGGTTTGCGGAAACTCGAGTTTCAATGGCGAATCGCTCCGCGCAGGGGGAAAGATCGACCAAGAGATTGATGGACTTTGTAAGATCTCCTTTCCCTCCATTAATTGCAAGCAAATTTTTTGAAGGCTATTGAGAGTGAAAAGTACTACTACCTGCTGCTTTTCCCTTCATGTTCCTTTCCATACATGCATTTTGCGCCGCCTTCCTGCAAATTTCACTCCTGTACAGAGAAAAATTTTACCGCAGATACCGTTTTACCGGTCATTTAGAACGTCACGTCGGGACTTAACATACTCGTTTTAGTCTCCGTTAATAAATCGCATTAATATTTCGTTTTAAGAGTGGTTAATGCTCCATTGAAATTCCCTTCTTGAAACAATACGCGGAACAATGGCCTCAGACCCCGCCATCATTAAGTTTCACGATCATTAAATCTCGTCCTGAATACATTGAGCGCACCCTTCAATTGTTCGCATAAAGTATCCATCACGGTTTCGTGTCCTGCGTTTTTAATTCTTACGAGAATTGCGCGAGAGATTATGCTCGCTTTGATTCATAATTCTCGAACGTCGCATAAATTTCTCCCCATGCGCCGCTTATCTACCTACTCGTAAAACAGGGTCAAGCTGCTCGCGTTATGTTTCTTGCGATGTTCCGTAAAAGCTGCCGAATGCACGGTGAGTACAAACATTAGCGAACTAATGAATCAACTGAATAAAGTAATTAATTCGAGTTTGCATTGGCAAATTTACAGGGGATGCAGCGTTCTAAATGAATCAACACCTTGCACTGGCAATGAAGTTGACAGTAATCGCTCCGGATGGGAATTAGAAAGATCTACGTAATGACCAGTTTCCGATCTCCACGGTGTATATCCTTGTTTCTATTCACTTTTCACGATACCGTTCTCACAGGTAAACGTTTACTTTTCTTGCGTTAAACGTTAGAAGTTATCGCGGTATCGTGGGAAATACACGTCGCTCGAGGAGAAACTGGAAATTAGAAAACTAATATCTCTCAGGATAGATACGTCATTGATTTCTTTACTCGTACGGGATTAAGTTGTGTCATCGTATGGTCCAACAGCTCGTCATTGCACGCTACACATCACTTCATTTTCGTTGATATTCATCTCTTCGCTTTGTGTGTCCTATCGTCGCGTTTCGCGGGCTTTTAATCGTAAAAGGGATGATCCAAC